AGAGATTATATCACTGAGCATTTCCGCAAAGAATAAAAGCAAATGCTCAATTATTTTCCACGAGTAATATATATATATATATATATATATATATATATATATATATATATATATATATATATATATATATATATCTCTATATATATATATATATAATTTGCATTGTTTACTAGGTAGATTTTTATTCAGTCTATGTTATCGATAATTTTATTTTGGACTTGACTTGTCCAAAATCAAATTCACGTTGTTCCTAACTAAAGGCACTGTTATTTTGATTTGGTAAACAAATAATAGATAGCTAATATTTTCTAGATGACTATGAGTTAAATATTAGGGGCATTATCTATAGAAGTAAACATATCTATTAGGGTTAGAGTCATGATTATTGGAATCACCCCATAAAAACAACTAGCCTACTTGATGTTTATCACATTCTATATTATAAGTTTAGCAACACATTGCTCGAGATTAGAAAATTACATTTAACCATGGTATTGACAGAAAAAGTTAATTCTGACCTAGGTCAAGTTGAGGACTCTATAATCTTGTTTATCTAAAATTATTTACTCTTGCTTCATATCTTTAGACATAATTGATCTCATTGTTGTGTTCAGTATCTGGTTTGGGTTGGAATTCATTTAGTTTTATTTTTTTCTCGCTGGAAATAAAAAGTGTTCATTAATAACATTATTGGACTGGAACATTAAGTTGGAAATGTAGTGAATTCAAACAATGATATCTTGGATTATATTTGTATGAATCATCGAAAGACTGTTAGCACATCAGCATCCGTCAGGCCATTTATACATTCGTACATATGAGACTACATGATTATTAACACCTTCAGCGATAGATCTTATATAGAATATCACTAAAATATAATTAGAATGTTATTTACTAGGACTGGTGATAAAACATTTTGGACTATTTTAAATTTAATTTGTACTACAGTTCTTTTTAATTTTCACTTTGTATTAAAAAGAAACAAAAAATAGGTTGACTTTTTTTCAAAATGTTTTAGTTGTTGCTCTTGTCTCTGACTTAGTTCAAGACCATAGTCATTAAAGTGAGAAAGTAAACTACTTTTATTTCTTCAAAAACAGTCTTTAGACTATATTTCTGCTTTCCTTTTCAAGCATCGCATTGCACAGAAATTCCGTCTTTGGATTGTTGATGATGATACGTACGTCCGGTCCACACTGAGGTTAGCACTTAAGATTATTTCACTTTTTCAGACACGTGACATTGTATGCAGATGCTTTGTACGGTATACTGTAGCCTAAGTGACAGGGAAGTCACTGCGACCTATATTGCATGGTTTAACGATTAGCATTTAGGTTTGGATCAAGCTTAGTTACTCTAGGTTAATGTATGCGTTTACCTTAGTGCCTTATTGCTGGCATCTTCATGTATCTTGCGATGACAACGCATCATGATGAGTACAAAGAGCAGTCCATATTAACCACTTTGACCAATTATGTTCCAACAAAGCTACCTGCAAAGGCTCTGCGTTGATCTTGGTTTCCCTGGAACTATTGCCTTATATATGTCGATGCATCTTAAAGAGTACTATATCTTGGCCGAGTCATACCAAAAACTTATAAATATGGTACTAGCAGCTGCCTTGCTTGGCGCTCATCATTAGAAGGTTAGCTTTAGGACTGATCGGCCTGTAGACATCTGAGCGAATAAAAGCTACGTTAAATATAAAAATCACACACAGACACACACACACACATCCACACACACACACAGAGGCACACTCACACAAATTAAGTCCCTGTGACATATATCTCATACATGTACTCTAGTGTGAAACAGGTTTTAGGACACTATTTTCAGAGGGTCATTTAATTTGGCATGTAGATGATTCACGAGAAATTATCTACTCATCAGTCCATGATATTTAACTGTGAACTATATTGAATGTCACGTGATCTGTATAAGTCTATGCGTATAGTTCACTTTCTTAAAAGCATTTTGCACAGTGAGTTAATATGATACATAGCTTTCTTAGACTAAATAGGTTTTCCTATCAATAGCCTGAACCATTCCTACTTATAGTTTGTGATCTGTCTATATTCAGCTTATATTGTATTTGTACAACCAGATTAGAGTTACACCAATGCATGTCTTTAAGAGCTTTCATCTGCATTTATTAAGTGGTAACCAATTACATACTGAATTGGGAATAATTCATATTTTTTTAAAAGAATAGATGTGAATAATGAATAAGTATTTAAATGTAGGTGAAAATATTTGAATCGGGAATAAGTAACTGGTTATTCCTTATTAAATCGGGAGTAAGGAATAAGGAATAAGAAACCAACTTGATTTCATTGCATTTCGACAGTCAGCAGCCTGCAAAACTCCAGAGGTATGGCGTATAGACATAAATATCCATAGGAAATGCATTTAAAAAGTGATCAAATAATAATCCACGTGGATTATGCCATGCATAGATATGCTAATTATATACCTCTAGAAGCAAGTGAGAATAAATTCACCCGGGGGAAGACATAACTTGAGGCTTTTTCAATTATTCAATGTTCCATCGTGAAATTAAGTTTTATATATATATATATATATATATATATATATATATATATATATATATATATATATATATATAACCTGTAGACAAATTTTGAAATAATTTTTACACAACAAGAACAGACCCTGTATTCACAAAGGGAAGAGAGCTTGTATATGTTCCAACAAACTTTAAACTAACTCCATATCCTGTTGAAACCTCTGATGAAATACATGTTTGAAATTAAAGTAAGAAACTGTGACTTTGTGATATATTTTCTGTTCTAGTGTGTAAATCCAAGCTTACATCACTAATAAGGACGTGCATTATCAGTTTTCCGAAGCCAATAAATGGTTCCCTCAGTTAACTTTCCAAATTTAGATCAGACGATCAGAGTTGAATGGAGTTATGTGAAACACAATCAGATATTAAAATGTTCATCCCAACTTACATAAATTTTCTCATATGGAGATTATAAATGAAGATCGCTGATTAATTTTATAAATTTAGTAACAGAATTAAAAAAGTTTTTTTTTCTTCAAGTTTGACCAAATGCACCAGGAGCATTCTGGCTTCTTATTTGCTCAGACATATATATGTACAAATTATGGATTAACATATCCATCAAATTATTTCCACTTTTGAGATGTACAACAATATAAACTTCTCTTTTGACCTGACCAGGCATCTCCAGGTATCATTTTCATGTCTATACATATGATCAACCTAAGATCATGTCTCTTCAGATATCTACCTCAGTTTAGGTATTTTTAGGTGTCCACCTTGGATCAGGCAACATTTTGTGTCTATCAAGGATCAGACACCTCCATGTATACACCCAAGATTATACATTTTCACGTGTCAACTGAAAACAAGACCTGTTCAAATATTTCCATACGACCAGGTATCCTCGGGTCTCTACCTAGAATACGCCATTCGGGTATCTACCCTAGTTCATGTATCTTCAGATGGTGCTTATGATCAGGTATCTTTAGGTGTATACCTAAGATGAAAGTATTTTTTATGTATTTATACAGGATGAAACACCCTCACCTGTCTACCTAAGGTTAGGCATTTTCATGTGTCCATATAGGATTAGTCATGTCTCTGTCTAGAAGCAGACCTTTGTATGTGATCAGACATTTCCAAGTGACTGCCTATAATCATTCATTGTCGCGTTTCTGTCTATAATCAGGCATCTCTGTGTGTCTGCATAGGATCATATTCAGCCATTTTTTGGTATGAAAACATAACAAAAGCAATATTCGTATCACAGCAGCGAACACCCTTCAAAGCCATGCAACAATCATAGTAATTAAGTAGTCATTTATTATTTGTCGTATGCTTTACGCATCACAAAGATATTAAAATCGCCTCATTAGGACATAATTAACATGAAATATATAATAAATGTACGCATATAATAATTTCAAACCAATTATTCGACATTAACGATCGGCTTAAAGGAAATTTTACCTCCTTTCTTCAGGAACCGGACTGAAATTACATTTTATGTTGTTGTTGCGCTTAACGCCTTTTTTCAGCACACGATAGGCTATTCATGGCGGCCAGTATTACATTTTATATGTAAGTGAGCTGTAGTCAAAATGAATGATAACTCACTTGAGTCTCCTGTTGTTCAATGACGTTAATTATTTACTTACATTGTTTAGTAAACTTTGTTCAAAGTATCGCGAGAGATCTGCCCACTTTCTGAAGCCGATATTATATATTTTACTGCAATAATTGATGTTTAGCCAGCAGCAGGTATTTATAGCTTCTGCACCTGTAAAACCATAAAACATCGGTATCTTAATGAAAGCGTTCATGTAGAAATAAACTGATGTCAGCAAAGGAGAAAGGTTCAAGGTTTCTTTAAACTCTAATCGATGCTTACATTATAGCGTCATCTTAGAATGCATACATTATAGTGTCAACTTACAATGCATACACTATAATGTCAACTTACAATGCATATAATATAGTGTCAACTTACAATCCATACATTATAGTGTCAACTTACAATGCATACATTATAATGTCAACTTACAATGCAAACATTATAGCGTCAACTTACAATGCATACATTATAGTGTCAACTTACAATGCATACATTATAGTGTCAACTTACAATCCATACATTATAGTGTCAACTTACAATGCATACATTATAGTGTCAACTTACAATGCATACATTATAGTGTCAACTTACAATGCATACATTATAGAGTCAACTTACAATGCATACATTATAGAGTCAACTTACAATGCAAACATTATAGTGTCAACTTACAATGCAAACATTATAGTGGCATCTTACAATGCATACATTATAGTCAACTTACAATGCATACATTATAGAGTCAACTTACAATGCAAACATTATAGTGTCAACTTACAATGCAAACATTATAGTGTCAACTTAAAAAGCATACATTATAGTGTCAACTTGCAATGCATACAGACCGCTCCGATGACCTAGTGGTTAGAGCGTCTGCCTCGGATGCGGGAGGTCGTGGGTTTGAACCCCGGCTGAGTTATACCAAAGATTTTTAAAATGGTACTAAGAGCTGCCTCGCTTGGCTCTCAGCATTAAGAGGTTAGTTTTAGGACTGGTCGGCCTGGTGTCAAGATAATGAGACTGGGTGGTACATCACGCTACATGTCTTTTGCATGATTCCCCAGTGCTATAGACATCACTATAAACTGTCATCGTAGCGATGTGACTGAAAAATTGTTCAAGCAACGTTAAAAATCTAAATCACACACAAACACACACACGCACACACACAATGCAAACGTTATAGTGTCAAATTACAGTGCATACATTATCATGTCAACTTACAACGCAAACTTTATAGTGTCAACCTACAATGCAAACGTTATAGTGTCAACTTCAAAATTATTTTCTTTTTTCAACCTATAGTACATTCAAATTACGAGTTGAGTTTTAATGTCATAGCTGGTAAAACACCAGGAATCTGCACAAGCAGATAGAGTTAGCCAGATCTACTTCCGGCTTGAAGACCAGACCATAAAGCCAAAACAGGTTTATATAACGGCTAGTGTTACACTTGTATAATAAGTCATAGTACATGTTATACGTTACAGTACGTTACAGTACTTACAGCGATCATTTTTGGCATCTTGAAATTTTTGAAATTTTTAATTAATTAAATCATTTATGATATAATTATACAAATATATTATGTTCAGTTTGATGTATTAACGGTCCATTATAAATTAGTACATTAATATTTAGTGCTTTAGGTCGTTCGAGATGTGTTCAGTATGATATTGCTTCAATAATGTACTTTATGATAAAATTCTGTATGCTTTTGGCCGAAGATAAAATCCCTGCACTGACACATACAGTGCTATCCAAACCTAGGTCACATGCTGAAGAAAGTGCCATAAATAATAAATTTCGACGTTTTGTAAAATTTTGTAAGAAACATTTAGATTTGTTAAAATTGCTTTATGCAAAGCAGAAGCTAGAATTTATTATGTTATAACACCAGAAAGGAAGCTTATCTATTTGTGCGCAATCCTGTGTTATCTGATACACATTTGAAAATAATTCTAAATAATTTATAAAATATGATTCTGTTCTTTTTTATTTCCCGAGATTTATTTTCGTGTTTTAATCATTTGTAATTATACTCACTGAGCTTCACATTCCTTGTTCAGGCAGTTCACGCGCTACCAATTTTCGAGCCTCCTGACTGAAAGTTATGAAGTGGAGTCCTTAAAAAAATATATCTGAAATTTAAATTATGTAGAACATTTTTTTTTAAAAAAGTATTTCTTTTTTATATACGTATCAAAAACAATTCAAAGACTGTAAGTAGTAATTTATCAATGTTTATGAAAAAAATGTATCAAATTTCTTAACTAATTGTCTATAAATCTATTTGTGTAAAATTGACATGAAAAATAGATAAAGTAGTTTCCTAATCTTATAGTATTTGAAACATTGATGGTAACATTTATCTTCAAATTTACACTAAAGAAGGAATCGGAACGAAAAGGTGTAACAATGTTAGTCCATTCCAAGATTAACATTGCCATAATTGAATATTCTTTGCAATGATTCTAATTAGCATCAGTTTCGTGACGAGTCTTAATCAGTATCTATTGAAGAAAGCTTGGGTATTATTTATAAATTCATCACGTATTTTGACTATGGAAAGCATTGAATTTTGTACCATTCAAAGTCCATACGGTGATAATCCAATGGACGAAACAAAAACCCAGAGAAAACAACTCATTGCATGCAGTAACATTGTTATATAAATATTTTTAGGATTGGTCAGACATTTCGAGGACATAAACAAATTCCATAGTTTAGGATCTTTGCTTTTTCTTCTATCATTTTTCATTTCGTAAACTTTAACTTTGACAAATCAAATTACATTTAGAACCACCAGGAAACACCAGCATGTTGCTGATCATTTAAGCATTGAAAGGTTTAAAAAAGTTCCCTGTAATTTTGTTTTCGTTCTTCCAGACTATGGTGAAATTTAAAATTTTACAAAAGGTTTTCTTTATATAACGTTTTAAGTTTTTATTTTTTGACTAAAGTATAGAATAATTCAAGTCAGGCTTTAAAACTTTATAAATAATGTTACATTTAAATTTTACTATGATACATTGCCGTCTGATTTGATTCGGGCCATTGTTTGTGTTACAAAAAGAGATGTGTGTGTGTGTGTGCGTGTGTGTGTGTTTCTAAGTATAAATACTGTTTTCCGTCATGCCTTGATATGCCTTAATGACTTTCATTAGTAAAGACAAAGTTAAGTAATATAAAAAACAAGAAAACAAAACAAGCAAAACCAAACAAATTTAAGGCCGCAGTAGATGAATGGGTACCTTGCATAAACAAAGAAATTATTATCGCAGAAATAGGTATAGACATAAACGTTCTGAGCTGCCTGGTGCAAGTCGAAACGGCTGTGACGTATAGCTCATCTTATTTGACGCTTTTGGTCTGATATGTTGACACATTTTATGAAATCATTTGTATGACAGTACAGTATGTGGATAGTAGAGTGGGCATTTTGTGCGTTCGCGTACGTTTGTGTCGATAGTAGATATGGCGTGTTTTTTATTTTCTTCGTGTTGTGTGGATATTATAGTGTGTTTTATGCGCTCTCGTAGGTTTGTGTGGATAGTATATTTGGTGTATTTTATTCGTTTGCTATCGTTTATGTGGATGGTATATTTGGTGTATTTTTAATTCTCTTCCCGTTGGTATGGATAGTATAGTGTGTTGTATTCGTTCGCGTTTGCTTGTGTGGATAGCAGATATTGGTGTGTTTTTCTTCTATTCCATCGTTTGTGTGGATAGTAGAATGTGTGTTATATGCGTTCGCGTTCGCTTGTGTGAATATTATGTTGTGTGCTTTATGCATTCGCGTTCGTTTGTGTGGATAGTATATATTGGGGTTTTATATCCGTTTGCGTGGCGTTTGTGTGGATAGTATATGTGGTTTGTTTCTATGAGTTCGCGTACATTTGTGCGGATAGTATATATCGTAATGTTTATGTGTTCGCTTAGCGTTTGTGTATATAGTAGATATGACTGTTTTTTTTCTTCACTGCCCTTTTGTGTAGATAGTTTATAATGAATTATTTCTTCCCTTCTGCGTGTTTGTTTTTATGCGCGTACGTGAGTTACATTGCGTTTGTATTTGTGCGTTTGTATATGTACGCGTATATTTCTTTATGCGTGCGTGTGTGCATTGGTTTTTGTTTGTCCCTTTAAAACTCCATTTATCCATATCAATTACATGTCACTCACTTACCTACAGTAAGGAATATCAGCTCAGTCACTTGCAACCCTATTGCCATTTTTTCCCTAGTGTTGAGAAAAGTGACGTCATTGAAGCTGGAAAGTTTGAGACTAAATGTAATCTATGGTTTTTGTGCATGTTGTAGCTAGAAATACATACTAGGTAAGAAATTCTAAATAGATAGTGGGATTTTCCTTAGGAATTTATAAGTTGTAGCTAAAAATAATTACTAGGCTTTTCCAAAGGAATTTCCGATATATTATTTGTGACGTCATGTGCATTCGTTATAAAATTTGGCGCATGAACAGTCTAAATGAAAAATGTGATTTGCGTTCGTGTTCAGCTTGTTGCAAGTGTTCAGGACCATGACGTCATTACACCTGTTTCTTTCCTTTTGTTCCCATACAAAATTGCCATTGACGCTTTTGTAAGCTAGGGTGTGTCATTTGTCTTTATAAATTTTGTCCGTCTATAGTCCCACCAATGTTAAATTTCCCCATGTTAAAGTCCGCTTGACACCAATGTGACCCAAAACCTTTTCATCTGTTATTTCTATTAACCCTAAAGTCACCCTGTATTCCCATTGTTAAAGTCCCATTGTTCTTGTAGTGAATATAAAATTCCCATTTTAAATTTCCATTGTCTTTTACTGGATATACCCCTTTTAACATTTAGTTCTTATGAAATGCATATACATTGTATACAAACTGGTCTTTTTGGATGCATAAACTTTAATTTTTAAATGTAATTTTTTTGTAATCAAAAACTAAATAAATTTTGAATAGGTTTGTTTCATGTCCAAATGTTTATTTATTAAATGGATAGTGCTTAGACCATAGCACAGGCCAGAGTGACCAAGTATATACTTAAATAAATGTTATGTACCTATACAATAGATTTTTTTATTGGAGTCTAAATTCTATCCTTGAGTCTTTCTTTGGAACATCTCTCTCCTATTTTTGGTGTTTCTGTCTTCTTTGTTTGAATGTGTATTGGTTTATTTTTATAGGTCTATGTTTGTCTTTATTAAACCTTTGTTTCTACAACTACATATCACCTTATGAATATGTTTTACCCTATGCAACCCATGATGTCACCAATGTTCAATTCCCATTGACCTCCAGGTGACATTCTAACGTTAAATTCCCATTGAAGCCAATTTGTATGTAAAGTGGTGCAATCTCTTGTCGCTATGTTCGTTTGCACATTGACTCCATGTTAAAATTTCCCCATGTTATATTTCCCTTGACGCCAAAGTGATCCAATACCTTTTTGACCGGGATTTCCTCTGACATTAAAATCACCTTGTATTCCCAGGTTAAAGTCCCATTGTCCCTATAGTGGATATACAATTTCCATGTTTAATTCCCATTGTTCTCATGTAGATATACCACTTATTAACATTGTCCCCCCATTGTCCCTAAAGAGCTCCCATATACTACTAACAGGTGTAGACGGTCTTATTTACAAGTTCTGAATGAACGATCAAACTCCCTGGAGGCAACATCGTCTATCACCTTTCTAATATACTGGGAGGGATCTTTTACCGGTACAGGGTGTGACTCTCCTTGTACCAGGGACGGCCACTTAAGGTCATTATCCGACGACGACACGCTGTTTAACATGAGTGCTGCAAGTTATGCTGATGTGGGTATTCATAAACAGTTTCTTGCCATCATCGGTATGCAAACTTAGGATATCTGAAGCCACAATGGGCTAATCACCACCTACTCTCAATAAA